GATACGATTTCCACCCACAACATTTAATACTGCTTCATTTTTTTTATATGTTGAACCCACTTGATAAAATTTCTGGGTCCGCCACTGATCATGATGAACAATTAAAAATATCTAAGCACATGATCAACTTTAAAATATAGTTAAGCAAGATTAAATAGGTGATTAATGGCAATAATAATTTAATTTTATTTAGATCTAAAGTGAAGTTGCTAAATATGAACTACCGAACAATCACGAACCTATATACATGCTTTCTAACACAAATAAGTTACGATAAAATAAACAAGTAGCACGTAAATCCCCTCCCCTTTAGACGATCCCCAAATATTTCACATATATCTATGGAGTTAGAGTTTACAAATTATTACAATATCAAAAAATGGACCAATACAAATATAAACAACAATAAAAGCAAAATATCATCCGGGCACCCATCATAGATGACTTTTCGTGTCTTGAATTTTAAATTCAAAACATGTTTAAAAGAATATACCAAAGACAAGATCATAATTATATAGATAGCAAAACATAGTTCACCGCCCCAGTCTTCAATTTATTGGGGGTCTGATTGGGCGCACTGCTGGTGCGCCGCCTCAGGCCTCAATTTACTGGGGTCTGATTGGGTGCATTGCTGTCACACCGCATAGGCATTCATTTATTGGGGTCTGATTGGGCGCACTGCTGGTGTGCCGCACAAACCTCTATTCTACTCATTTTATGATCCTAAAGCCTTTTTAATCGATTACTTTTCTCAATTTTTCCTTAGATTCAATTACCCAATACAAGTACACAAGAATCTACTAAAAAACAACTCTTAAACTCGAATTGATTACCTCAAGAACTCATCAAACCATCCTAATTCAAGAACAAAAATAATACTTCAAGAACACTTATCAAGAACTCAAATCCTTCAACTTTTGAGAACGAAATTGCGCTGAAAATAACATGATTGACGTGTGGGTGAACGAACCCAACACTATTAGAACTCACATACCTCTTAGGGATTAAACCCTTGGTGAAACAACTTTCAATTCGCAAGAAAATTGATGAACGTCTCGACTTTTCTCCTTTTTCTCCTCTTCTTGAACTCCTCTAAAAAACTCTATCGTAAATTAGGATTTGTAAAACTGAACCAAATCAGTTTAGTCCCTAGATATTAACAAAATTCATTTTAATCTCATAATTTCGGGTAACTTTCCTTAACTGGACAGACAAATTTCAAATAATCAAATAAAATAAAAAAGAATAGAATTATATTAATTGAAATCAAAACAATACATTAATAAATCTTCAAAATATTTGGAAATCATTCAAACTTTTATATTAATATGACTATCTCTTTTGATGAATCTTTCAAGATAATTAAGTTTCATTCTTCATTTTGATGAACTTGTACCAAATTAATGTGAACATCTCTATAATGAATCTTTGAAGAATTTATATATGATCTTTAACAAAGTGACGACCATATTGTAACATTATTAAATACATAATTGATAAAAAAGATGGAGAAAATTTTTATAAAAGGAGAAAAAACTATACTACATTTTTTTGCTCTGATACCATATTGTTGAAGTGTACAACCATCTCATCTTAAAACTTAAGTTGTTAGAGAAAACACATTTTAATTAGTTAATTATGTTCTCAAAAATTATTATAGCGTTGCTAAGGAATTGAAAGTTCAAATTGAACTTTGTTCACGATAGCAGCCAAGATTTAATTGTTACTTGTTGCTTTCAATTATCTCATTTGACCCTGTTTCTAGTGAATTGTCTAAGTAATACTCAATGTCAAATACTAAATAAAATAGTAATAACATTGATATCGATGTATAATTATATAATATGCATTTGTTTCTGGTCATGAAGAAAAAAAACACTTCATCATGACACATTCATCTATGTGAGACGATATTCATGGTGTGAATTCGACACTGGTACACCAATCAAAAATTCCAAAATAAACCTACTGTAGAATCCACCCTTGAAATCATTTTGAAATCCGACGGAGACAAACTCAATAAGTAACTGGACTAAAAATTACATTTCAAACCTATTAAAATCATTAAAATATCGATCTAAGGTCATTTTGACCGAAATCAACTTCAAAATTATTAACCAACAATTGAATAATCTTGAATGCCTCAGGATCTGAACTAATTATCCAACTTATTAAAAAAAAAATACTTTTCAGATCTAGCAAAACTATCAGAATTCCATTTGAGTCCATTTACCTGACCTGTTGACTTGAGTCAAACTTTTAGAAATTGAAAAACTTATCCAATACCCATCTGATCACCTTGAGAGTCATGCCACCTATCACAATTTTTTGAGTTTCACACCTAAACTATTGAGAGTATGAGTTTTCTACATGAACTATCATCTAATAGTTATTGAAACACACCTCGACTAATTTCTGATTTGTGTGTACTACACTCTCTTTTGTTTAAAAATTCTGTCACGTGACACTTCACGTTAAAAATAGGGATAAGGGTCTGAAAAATACCCCAACTTTGGTCGGATTTGCTGTTGCGATACTAAACTTTCATGAGGACCTATTACCTCCCTAGACTATTTAATACCGTATTTTTTACCCCCTGAACTATTTAATAGTGTATTTTAAAGGCATATATGTGCCCACATGGACACATTACTATTTATAATTTTGCATTTTTTTTGTCCACGTGGGCAAATATATATGTTTAAAATACGGTATTAAATAGTTTAGGGAGGTAATAGGTCCTCATGAAAGTTTAGTATCGCAACAACAAATCCGACCAAA